GGGGGGGGGGGGAAGGGGGGATTTGGGTGGCATCCCTCCTTTTACTTCCGAGGGTGAGAGGCCACGCCACGCCACGTTAGTGATGATTGACCAAGCAGTATTTTTCCGCTAAATCTCGACGATTTACTAAATGATGGCACAAGGCGTCATACAAGACTTGGAAAGTTGCATCTGAGCCTTTAGCTGCTTTCCATTTCAACAACATTTTGTAAGCCTTTTCAGACAGCTTCTTATTCTCTTCATCAATAGCATACAGCTCTGCTTCATTATTATCTAATAACCGTCGCCCAAGCTCCTTCCATTCCTCGACGATTTTCAACGCCAGTCTTTCAAGGTCTTCTTTTTCTGGTGCGCCATCTTCAACAACAACTGAAAGAACACAATATAATTCTAGTTTACATTTTTAGTCGGTCTGATTTGTACAGGCAGTTACAAAACAGTACTAAGAAAATACGTGCGCTGATTGGTTAAAAATCGCGTTTCTATAACTCGATGGAAACACAGAACTAGCTCGAGCTTTCGACGATATGATTGCCCGGGCAAAGAGAATTTACATTTTGATAATCAAAGTTAACAAGTTGTTTTCCTTTTTTTTCGCCGCGGTGTTTTCTAAAAGAAGTAGAAAACATGTTCCCCGTGTTTCTATCAAGTTATAGAAACACTCGTGAAAGTTTGGGAGAACTCGAAAAAGCTGTGGAGACACTCGCCTGCGGCTCGTGTTCCCACAGCATTTCTCGTTCTCCCAAACTTCCACTCGTGTTTCTATAACTCGATATAAACACGGTACATGTTTTCTATTTCTTAATTAATAAAGGGTCGAGGGCAGTAGAGATATCAGTTTGGCTGAGATAGTTGCTGCTGAGAATAAAGCTGTTGCTGCCGCTCAAAGTGTGAAAGAACATGGTTCTTTAGTTAAGTTCTCATTGTTCGAAACATTACCTCCAAGATGCTGTGTGGTGAGTTTGATACGCTTGGGGCTGATACGTGGAGGTTCTGTCCTTCGCTTTACAGAAGACTCTAAAATAGAAAAGAGAAATTAATTATTATTATAGTCCAACGTGAAGATAAAAGCTGTAGGGAAAAGTATCTCGCACATGTGAACCAACTTTTCATAATGACACTCAAACTGTGGACTTTCAAATTCCCTGCCAGACCCTAATTTGTATGAGTAAGCGATACTAACCTATAAAAGTCGAATTTGCACAGTAATAAAACTTGCTGTGTAATTCCATCTCAGGCCCTAGACTTTCGGTTGTAGTTTCCTGTTTAATTTTTCTCAGGAAAACTTTAAAGGACTGACAGAGCTAGCGCCAAGATAATTTCTAATTTACACCCTAGAGCTCCAGAAATGAATAGTATATGGTCGCCAAATGTGGCATCATGGTCCAAGGCGTTCCTAACGTAGAGCGTGGAAATTGATGATGAGAATGCGGCTGCTTCGTTTGTCATGTGCTTGCTCTTCGTTAACAACTTAACTTACTGCGGAATGCTGTGTTTTGTAAAGAAAGTTTTGGAAAGAATCGAAGAAGGTGTCGATCGTTTTCTGAACGGGTCGGCCAACGAATTATATCGATTGAAAGCCGGCAAATAAGCTAAGTTCATGCTTCGCTCTCACGAGATAGCAAATGAGCAATACACGACTGAATTCAAACTACGAAAACACTAGCAAAATGCTATGATGATAGTCTGCTGACTAGAGACGATGCCGAGACGAACAACTCAGAAGTTGAGAAAAATAATCAAGAATCGTAGTAAGCAGAACTTCGAAGATGAGGTAAATAACGTGCAATTGGAAAGAGAGGATACTCAACGAAGCAACTTGAATAGAAAATATCTAAGCTTAACTCTCTCCTCGGAATATCCGGGTTTTTTCAAAATTTTTTAATTGCTTTTATTGTGTTGAATAAGCTTACTTGTAAAGTATGATTTGATATTGCGACACGAAGCCAGACTTAATGCTCTTAGAGCGTCTATTTTCAGTTTCGGATATTTCATTATTTCATGGAAACACTATCTCGAGTGTTCCAAGTATCTTCTCAGTCGAAATGAAATAAAATCTTTATTAAGATGAGATATGCAAACACCTTCACGGGTATCCGTTTTCTTAGCTTAAACTTGACGAATTATTAGTGAGGTTTAGAATATATTTTCTTTCAGTTAGGCGTCGAACTATAAGCATCCCGAATCAGAATTTCAAAGATTACCTGCTATTAAAATTTATGTTACTCTATCAAGTTAGGTTTTACCATTTCTCTGTTCAAGACCAGCTGGACTATCTAACAGTACTTCATC